AACAGTCATATAAGGAAGAAACCATGATTAGAATGGACTGGATTTAAACATAAATATTTGCTGGTTTTCTACAAGGAAAAGCAGGACCCACTAAGATTAACCACAAATCTATATAACATTTAGGAAATTAAAAAGCAAGCAAAATGGAGAATGAAGTTAATGGATACCTTGCAAGAAAATACCTAAGTTAAGAAAGTCTGCTTTTCTTTCTGGCCAATTACCAAAAAAAAGGAACTTCCTAGAAGGAAGAAAGTCCTTGATAAACTTCTCTCTCCACTGATTTACTTGCTTTCATTTGAATACACAACAAAAACCAAGTATGAACATGGATGAAACTGGAGGACATTATGCTGAGTAAAAAAAGTCAATCACAAAAGGACAAATATTGTAAGAGATCTCTACTGTAAAAACTTGTGTAAAAGTTTACTCACAAAAAGAAACAATCTTTGTTGGTTAGGAGGGTTGGGAGGGGTGGGGGGGGAACTAAATGGACAATACATAAGTGGTAACTTTGGTGAAGGGTAAGACAGTACACAATACTGGGGAAACCAACACAACTTGTACAAGGAAAAGTCAAGGAAGCTCCATAGACAAATCCAAACTCCCTGAGGGACTGAATTGCTGGGTGGAGGGCTGTGGGGACCATGGTCTCGGGGAACATCTAGCTCAACTGGCATAACACAGCTTATAAAGATAATGTTCTACATTCTACCTTGGTGAGTAGCATCTGGGGTCTTAAAAGCCTGTGAGCAGCCATCTAAGATATTCTACTGGTCTCACCCCTTTGGGAGCAAGGGAGAATGAAGAGAACAGGATACAAGGAAAAGATCAGTCCAAAGGACTAATGGACCACACCTACCAAGGCCTCCACCAGACTGAGTCCAGTACAGATAGATGGTACCCGGCTACCACCACTGACTGCTCTGACCAGGATCACAATAGACGGTCCTGGACAGAGCTGGAAAAGGATGTAGAACAAAATTCTAACTCACAAAAGAAGACCAGATTTACTGGCCTGACAGACTGAAGAAATCCCCGAGAGTATGGCCCGCAGGCACCCTTTCAGCTCAGTGGTGAAGCCCTTCCCGAAGTTCACCGTTCAGCCAGGGATTGGACAGCCTCATAAAACAAAACGGAACTAATAAGGCACAGCAGTCCAGGGACAAGGATTAGAAGGCAGGAGGGGACAAGAAAGCTGTTGATAGGGAACCCAAGGTTGAGAAGGGACAGTGTAGCCATATCGTGGGGTTGTTAACCATTGTCACAGGGCAACATGTGTACTGTTTGATGAGAAACTATTTGTTCACAAACCTTCATCTAAGGTACACACACACACACACACACACACACACAAAAGAATTATCTATGCGAGATCAAACTAACAACAGTAACTCAAAAGGTTTGATGGGAAGCCTGGGCAGCAGTGAGTTGAAGATAATGGTGACAAAATAATTTGGAAAAGATAGTGAGAATAGCAGCACAACTGGAAGAATGTAATCAATGTCACTGAATTGTACATGTAGAAACTTTCGAAATGGTGTAACTTTGGCTATGCATAGTTTCACCAAAAAAAAAAAAAAAAAGTCCTCCAATGTCGAGAAGGGATAGTGTTGACATGTCGTGGGGTTGTCAACCAATGTCATAAAACAATATCTGTACTGAGTGTTTAATGAGAAACTATTTGTTCTGTAAACCCTCATCTACAGTACAATAAAATACGTACATATACATATATGTAAACCAAGTATGAGTCAGTAGTTCTTACTTCATGTTTATACTAAAAACTCAACTTCCCATGGTGTCCTACAATCTTATTCCATTCCTGTTCTACCTTTCTTTCTTCTGTTAACAGATTCCTTTTTGGTTTTCACTCCCTCCCGTCATTACTGCATTATGTGGTCATGCCTGCCATCTAGTGGAAGCACAAAACAAGGCGAAGTAAGCTTTTTATAAAAACCATTAAACAAAAACAAAGGCTCTTTGTTTGGGGTTTTTTTTTTTCCCAGCTGCTATCAAGTCAATTCCAACTCAAGGCGATCCTATGTGTGTCAGAGAAGAACTGGACTCCATGGGGTTTTCAATGGCTGATTTTTTAGTGGATTGCCAGGTCTTTCTTCCAAGGCAACTTTGGGTGGACTTGAATCGCCAACATTTTGGTTAACAGCCAAGCATGTTAACCATATACACCACCCAGGAACTCCCTCTCTGTTATCAGAAAAGATAAATACCTGCCTCATTGACAATAATTATACGGAAGGACTAGGGGAAAAAAGGGAGGAAGTCTGGGCCACAGAAATACAAGTTTAACAGGCATCTTGGTGGAAAGTGGTCTTGGTATCTTGCGGTATTAGTACTGAAAGAAGTAAATTTTGGTCATTTTCCTTCATGTATATTGTACACTTTTTTTTTTAAAGTTCACATACAATATAGTTAAGGACCTACAAACAGAGACTCTAAAAGGAAATGTGTTCACTAGAGGCATAAAAGTTGAGGCTCTGGGTTTCAATTCTGGCTCACCTACATACTAGCTCTGATTTAACTTCCCTGAGCTTTCCTATCAGTAAAATGGAATAACTGCACCAAACTCAAGAATTATTTTAAGGATTAAATAAACAAAAAAAAGTAGTCATCATTATTAAGGGGAATAAGAAGTTCTGATTGAAATCCTGAGAATAACACAATAAATAATCCCAATAAGGACAAATGAAAGCAATGTGTTTGCCCACAAACCTTTTTTGGTAGACTAAGAATTGTAAAGAGCATGTATACAATTTAATTTATAATTTACACCCCACCAACTTTTCAAAAGCGATACAGGGCAAAGTACGTAAAAATTTAAAATAAGAACAACAGACAGCGTGAAATAAGCTGTAAGAATGGCATGTGGAAAGCTCAGACAAAACAAATTATTTAAACTTGAGAAAATGCTGCTGAGCATCAGAAGGGAAACCTCATGGCTGTCAGAAATGAGGTGAAGAAGGAACATAAAGGACTGCTGCTTTGAGAACAGCAGCGCACTGTGGAGGCGGAAATTCTCAAACCCTATGGGGCCCATCTTCTCTGTCAAGGAGGTATCTGAGCAGGAAAGAGGAAAAAGCAGCAAAAGATTCAGTAAGAAGCTTTTGTTTCTTTAAAAAAAAAAAAGACACCTGGATCTTTACGTGAGTTCAAATCTTCTGAACAAATTAAATTTCCTTCCAGAGTTGTAGAAGAGTTGGCAAATGTGATCACAAAATACTAAATATTAGCAGACTTTGAAAAATCATGGAGAACAATAATGCCAAGTTTTCAACAAAAGGGAGAAAAGGTGGATTAAAGATTTAAGGTCAATCCCAGACAAAGGCAATAACTCTACAATGGTTTTAAGAAGGTAAACACAAAGGAAAGAACACAGTAATCATTAGGAACTAGCAAAGTCACCAAGAATTAGTCATCTATAGAACAACCTTACAAACTTGCTGTGAGAATGAAGCAATACATGTAAGTACCTAGTACATGCGTGGCATTTATGATGATGATAATGAAGTAAAAGGAGCTAGGAAGGTCACTGACGGTTTAATGGAAAAGAAATCTGATTTGAAATCTGAAACATGGTAGAAACTGGATAAATACGAATAAGACCAGAAAAGGCAACAGGAATGTGTATATTTTCAGTAAACCACTTTTTTCAATCAAGTGGGAGATTGGGAAGGCAAGTTATTATACTGGGGTTATACTGTGGAAGTCCTTTATCAAAAACAATAGAGGTTTTTAAGTGGGTGATGTGTAACAACCTTGAAAATTTAACTTTTCAATTTTCTAAATTTAATTTAATGATTCCAATAATCACCAGAGATAGGTATGAGCATTTTATAAAAGTGTAAAAAAATGTACAAATAGGTCAATATCTAAATTATTACAGCATCAAAAAACAATTATCTACAGAGTACAAGCAACACTTTAATTCTACCAGCATAGTTAAGTACTTTCCTGATATCGGTGGGGAAAAAAAGAAAATAATGGAAAGAAAAAGAAGAGATCAAAAAGAGAAAAACGTTATAAAAAGTTATACATCTAGAGCAAAGAAGTTGAACAGACATTTATTCAAAGAAGAAATACGAGTGGTCAAAAAGCACATGAAAAAATGCTCAACATCATTAGGGAAATGCAAATCAAAACCACCATGAGATACCACTTCACACCCACTAGAATGGCTATGATAAAAAGAAAACAAAAGGTGTTAGCAAGGATGTAGAGAAATTAGAACTTTTGATGTATTGCTGGCAGGAATGCAAAATGGTACAGTCACTGTGGAAAAGTTTGGCAGTTCCTCAAGAAGTTAAACACAGAATCACCACATGTTCTAGTAGTTCTACTCCTAGGTATATACCCAATAGAACTGAAAGCAGGAACACAAACAGATACTTGTACACCAATGTACAAGTACACTGTAATTGTCCACCAATGTTGCACCACTATTTGCAGTAGCAAAAAGATGGAAACAGCCTAAATGTCCATCAACATGTGAATGGAAAAACAAAATGGAATACTACTCAGCCATAAAGAAAAATGAAGTCCTGATACATACTACAACATGGATGAATCTTGAAAACATGCTAAGTGAAATAAATAAGTTACAAAAGGACAAATATTGTAAGACCCTGCTTATATGAAATATATAAAATGGCCGAGTGTATAGAAACAGAAGTTTATTAGTGGTTACCAGGGAAGAGAGGGAGGGGGAAAGGGCAACTCTGCTTAGGGCACACTGAGCATCTGTTAAAGATGATGGAACAATCTGGAAATGGATAAGGGTAATAATGGTTGAATAACAAGATGAACGTAAGTTAACATCACTGAACTGTTTACCTGAAATGGCAAATGTTTTATTACAAATATATTTACCACAATAAAAAATAAATAAACTTACTATGTCTTAAAAAAAGAGTTGTACAACTAGAGTGAAGTGGCTACGTGCCATCCTGAGCTACTCTTAAGATAATAAGTATTAAAATACTTACCAATAAGAAGACTTTTTAGTCTTCTATAATCTTCGGTTACATCAAAATCATCACCAGCAAATATTAACATGGGCTTTGTTCCCTCAGGACATTTACTATTCTATGAAATGAAAAAAATGTAATTATATAATTATCAAATTCTAAACTGATTATGTACTAATTGTTTAGTAGTCAATAATGAATATAGTAATTCGTTTTCGCTTTTTCTTAAACTGTCCTATAACTATGTCTGTGAATACTGATTTTAATTTTAAAAACAAGAGTTGAGATTTTTAAAGCTTACTGATTTTTATACTAAAAAAAATTCTTACCACTCCCTCACATTGCCAATTTATAGGTGATCAAACAATGTAACCTACTGTTGAGCATTAGTCTTTGCAAAGAATAAAAAAGCTATACTTGCTAGAAAATAACCAAAAAAACCCTTAACAGCCAGCAACCTAAAGTAAAAAAAAATTTGTTTCTTTGACTTATTTCTACCATTGTACCTTTCCACTGTATTACACAAAATGTAGATTTAAAATGAAGACTAAACTATCAGCTAGACATTCACATGGAAAGCAATATAATTTTATAGAAGTTACAGAAAATAGGGGCTAATTCTCACTCAGCAGGGCTGAAGCTCTTGATATAAAATGTATTTTATCCAGTTCTGGATTTTCTATACCAAGAAGAATGTAAGTAACAAGAGGATTTAGAAGTCACCAATATAAAAGAAGAAAAAAATCAAATGAAAAACAATTGTTTAACCAAAGGATTAATCTATGGAGGAAGGTGAATGGTTGTTGGTCTGGGCTTCCCAATGATTCTGGTACCTCTGCTCTGACATCAATCAGAGATAATCTAAATCCGGCAAAAAAGAACAAAAAACAAATCTCTTCTGCCCTAGGACCAGAGGTCACCTGCTGCTTCCCTGCTCACCATGGCCACTGTTGTTATCATTCTCTGATTCCAAACTTGGAAATTAACTGCCTACACTTAGGCAAAATGCCTAGGATGTGACCGTCTGGTTGGGGTCTGAATGGACCTTCCAGCCGTAACGACTCTTTCATGCTCCATCTGGCCCGCCTGACGCTCCTGCTGCTGCCCCCAGGACTATGGGGTTATTTAAATGTTCAGCAGGTAAGACAAAATGAGGCAAAACGTCAACCACAACTTTGGCTTTCAAACCATCTTGATCACAATGCACAGTAATAATGCATTTTAAGTCATGACCCAGTGTATGTGCCATAAAAGTTACGTAAAACACTTAACATGCAGAACACTGATGTTTTCTACACTATTTCATTTAAAAAAAAAATACTTGTTACCCCCACAGTTTGAAAATCCTAAACTAAAAGAAGAGGCTACAACAGATAAGCTTTACTCAAATAGTCTGAAAAGTATTAAAAATTCAAAATACTATAAATACTATGATATGGTAGACTAAAAATACTATACTGCCAAGTTTTTGAACTAACCTTTTAAACTAAATTTTTCTAAACAAAGAAAAAAATTACAAAGTAATTCTTATAAAATAATTATACAGCATACCAAAAACTTTCCATATAAAATATCTCAGGCAGTTGCATTGTATTTTACCTTATCTAAAATACCACCTTACCTTAAAATTTTTTATTTTTCCCATACACTTATACATACATTGCTATGTGATTCTAACTGCTCTCCCCATACTGTGACAGCACACTCCTCCTTTCCACCGCTGATTCTCCATGTCCATTCAACCAGCTCCTAACCCCCTCTGACTTCCCATCTCACCTCTGGACAGAAGCTGCCCATTTACTCCCATGCATCTACTTGAGCTAAGATGCACACTCCTTACGAGTATCACTTTACGTCCCACAGTCCAGTCCAATCCCTGTCTGAAGAGTGGGCCTCAAAAACTGTTTTAGTTCTGGGCTGATAGAGAATCCAGGGTCCATGCTTTCCGGGGTACCTGCAGTTTCAGTCACACCATTAAGTCTGGTATTCTTACTAGAATTTGAGTTCTGCACCTCACTTTTCTCCTGCTCCAACCGGGACTCTGTTGTGTTCCCTGTCAGGGCAGTCACTGGTGGCAGCCCGGCCACCACCGAGTTCTTCTGGTCTCAGGCTGATGAAATCTCTGGTTTATGCGGCCCTGTCTCTTGGGCTACTAATTTCCTTGTGTCTTCGGTGTTCTTCATTCTCATTTGCTCCAGGTGTGTTGTGACAAATTGATGCATCTTAGATGGCCGCTTGCAAGCTTTTAAGACCCCAGATGCCACTCACCAAAGTAGGATGCAGAACATTTTCTTAATAAGCTTTGTTATGCCAATTGACCTAGATGTCCCCTGAAAGCATGGTCCCCAGACCCCTACCCCTGCTACTCTGTCCCTCAAAGTGTTAGACTGTATTCAGGAACCTTCTTAGCTTTGGTTTAGTCCAGTTGTGCTGACTTCCCCTGTATTGAGTGCTATCCTTCCCTTCACCTAAAATAATTCTTATCTACTATCTAGTTAGCAAACAACCCTCCCCCTCCCTCCCCACCCTCGTAACCATCAAAGAATATTTTCTTCTGTGTTTAAACCTTTTCTTGAGTTCTTATAATAGTGGTCTTATATGATATTTGTCCTTCTGTGACTGACTAAATTCACTCAGCATAATGACCTCCAGCTGCCACCACGTTATGTTTCAAGGCTTCATCGTTGTTCTTTATCATTGCGTAGTATTCCATTGTGTGGATATACCATAATTCGTTTATTCATTCGTCCGTTGATGGACACCTAGGTTGTTTCCATCTTTCTGCCATTGTGAACAGGGCTGCAGTGAACATGGGTGTGCATATATCTATTCCTGTTAACGAAGCACCAAATCGACTTTCAAAGTGGTTGTACCATTTTACATTCCCACCAGCAGTGTATAAGTGTTCCAGTCTCTCCACAACCTCTCCAGCATTTATTTTGTGTTTTTTGGATTAATGCTAGCCTTGTTGGGGTGAGATATCTCATTGTAGTTTTGATCTGCATTTCTCTAACGGCTAATGATTGTGAGCATTTCTTCATGTGTCTGTTAGCCGCCTGAATATCTTCTTTGGTGAAGTGCCTCTTCATATCCTTCGCCCATTTTTTAATTGGGTTGTCCTTCTGTTGTTGAGGTTTTGCAGTATCTTGTAGATTTTAGAGATTAGATGATGATCGGATTTTTCATAGCCAAAAATTTTTTCCCAGTCTGTAGGTTGTCTTTTGATTCTTTTGGTGAAGTCTTTTGATGGTCACAAGTGTTTGATTTTTAGGAGCTCCCGATTATCTGGTCTCTCTTCTCATGCTTGTGCATTGTTACTTATGGTTCCTATTGTGTTTATGCCATGTATTAGGGCTCCTAGAGTTGTCCCTATTTTTTCTTCCATGATCTTTATCATTGTTGATTTTATATTTAAGTCTTTGATCCATTTTGAGTTAGTTTTTGTGCATGGTGTGAGGTATGGGTCTTGTTTCAGTTTTTTGCAGATGGATATCCAGATACGCCAGAACCATTTGTTAAAGAGACTGTCTTTTCCCCAACTAACAGACTTTGGGCCTTTGTCAAATATCAGTTGCTCATAGGTGGATGAATTTATGTCTGGATTCTCAATTCTGTTCCATTGGTCTATGTATGTGTTCTTGTACCAGTACCAGGTGGTTTTGACTACCGTGGCGGTATAACAGGTTTTAAATCAGGAAGTGTGAGGCTTCCCACCTTGTTCTTCTTCTTGAGTAATGCTTTACTTATTCAGGGCCTCTTCCCTTTCCATATGAAGTTGGTGATCTGACTGTCCATCTCATTAAAAAATGGTGGTGGAATTGGATCGGGATTGCATTGTTTCTGTAAATCGCTTTGGGTAGAATTGACATTTTCGCAATGTTGAGTCTACCCATCCATGAGCAAGGTATGTTTTTCTACTTATGCAGGTCTCTTCTGGTTTCTTGCAGTAGTGTTTTGTAGTCTTCATTGTATAGATCTTTTACGTCTCTAGTTAGATTTATTCCTAAGTATTTTATCTTCTTGGGGGCTATTGTAAATGGTATTGATTTGGTGATTTCCTCTTTGAGGTTCTCTTTGTTGGTGTAAAGGAATCCAACTGATTTTTGTATGTTTATCTTGTATCCTGAAACTCTGCTGAAATCTTCTATCAGTTCCGGTAGTTTCCTTGTGGATTCTTCGAGGTTTTCTGTGTAAAAGATCATATCGTCTGCAAATAGAGATACTCTGACTTCTTCCCCACCAATTTGGATGCCCTTTATTTCTTCTTCTAGCCTAATTGCTCTGGCTAGAACCTCCAGCACAATGTTGAATAAGAGTGGTGATAAAGGGCCTCCTTGTCTGGTTCTCGTTCTCAAGGGGAATGCTTTCAAAGTCTCTCCATTTAGGATGATGTTGGCTGTTGGCTTTGTACAAATGTTCTTAATTATATCCAGGAATTTCCCTTCTATTCCTATTTTGTTGAGGATTTTTATCATGAATGGGTGTTGGACTTTGTCTGCATTGACTGATAAGATCATGTGGTCCTTGTCTTTTGTTTTATTTATGCTATGGGTTACACTGATTATTTTTCTAATGTTGAACCACCCCTGCATACCTGGTATAAATCCCACTTGATCATGGTGAATTATTTTTTTGATATGTTGCTGAATTCTATTGGCTACAATTCTGTTGAGGATTTTTGCATCAATGTTCATGAGGGATATTGGTCTATAATTTTCTTTTTTGTGGTGTCTTTACCCGGTTTTGGTATCAGGGTTATACTGACTTCATAGAACGAGTTTGGGAGTATTCCATCCTTTTTCTATGCTCTGAAATACCTTCAGTAGCAGTGGTGTTAACTCTTCTCTGAAAGTTTGGTAGAATTCTCCAGTGAAGCCATCCGGGCCAGGGCTTTCTTTTTGTTGGGAGTTTTTTAATTACCTTTTCAATCTCTTTTGTTATGGGTTTATTTAGTTGTTCTACCTCTGTTTGTGTTAGTTTAGGTAGGTAGTGAGTTTCTAGAAATTTGTCCATTTCCTCTTGGTTTTCAAATTTGTTAGAGTACAATTTTTCATAGTATTCTGTTATGATTCTTTTAATTTCAGTTGGGTCTGTTGTGATATCACCCATCTCATTCCTTATACGGGTTATCTGCTTCCTCTCCTGTTTTTCTTTTGGCAGTTTGGCCAATGGTATATCCATTTTGTTGATTTTTTCAAACACCCAGCTTTTGGTCTTGTTAACTTTCAATTGTTTTTCTATTCTCTATTTCATTTAATTCTGCTCTAATTCTTATTATTTCTTTTCTTCTGGCATCTGAGGGCTTCTTTTGCTGCTTTCTTTCTACTTGTTCCAGTTGTAGAGTTAATGTTTTGATTATGGCCCTTTCTTCTTTTTGGATGTGTGCATTTATTGCTATAAAACTGACCTCTGAGCACTGCTTTTGCTGTGTCCCAAAGGTTCTGGGAGGATGTGTTTTCATTCTCATTTGTTTCTATGAATTTCTTCATTCCATCCTTAATTTCTTCTATAACCCAGTAGTTTTTGAACAAGGTGTTATTCAGTTTCCATGTGTTTGATTTTTTTTCCTTGCTTTTTCTGTTGTTGATTTCTACTTTTATGGCTTTACAGTCAGAAAAGATGCTTTGTAATATTTCGATGCTTTGGATATTGTTAAGGCTTGCTTTATGGCCTAATATGTGGTCTATTCTGAAGAATGTCCATGTGCACTGGAAAAGAAAGTATACTTGGCTGCTGTTGGGTAGAGTGTTCGGTATATGTCTACGAGATCAAGTTGGTTGATTGTAGCATTTAGCTCTTCTGCATCTTTGTTGAGCTTCTTTCTGAATGTTCTGTCCTTCACAGAAAGTGGTGCACTGAAGTCTCCTACTACTATTGTGGAGCTGTCTATCTCTCTTTTTAGTGTCGTTAAGAGTTTGTTGTATGTATTTTGGAGCCCTGTCATTGGGTGCGTAAATATTTATTATGGTTATGTCCTCCTGGTGTACTGATTCTTTAATCATTATATAGTCTACTTCCTTATCCTTTGTGGTGGATTTTACTTTAAAGTCTATTTTGTCAGAGATTAATATTGCCACTCCTGCTCTTTTTTGAGTGTTGTTTGCTTGGTATCTTTTTTCCCATCCTTTCAATTTTAGTTTGTTTGTGTCTTTAAGTCTAATGTATGCCTCTTGCAGGCAGCATATAGATGGATCATGTTTTTTTATCCAATCTGCCACTCTCTGTCTCTTTATTGGTGCATTTAGTCCATTTACATTCAGCATAATTACTGACAGCTTTGAGTTTAGTGCTGTCATTTTGATCTTTTTTTGTGTGTTGTTCAGTTTCTTTGATCCACTTAATTTTCTGTGCTGAGTCGTTTTTCTTTATGCATTTTCATCTTTTTCATTGTTGTTCATTTTGTGTTTGCTGAGTCTTTACATTTTTCTAGTTTTTTACTCTGATTTGTAGGATTGTTAGTTTCCTTTGTGGTTACATTAATATTTATCCCTACTTTTTCTAAGTTCATACCAGTCTGTTATTTCTTTATATTGCCTTGACTTCCTCTCCATATGAAAAATCTATGTCTACATTTTTTAAGTCACTCTTTTTTGTTTTAATGTTGTCATCTTTTATGTATTGACATCTGTTTCCCTACTTCCAGTGTTTTAGCTTTGATTTATTTTTGTGACTTCCCCATCTGGGTTGGTATCTGGTTGCTCTGTCCTCTGTTATAGTCTTGGGTTGTTATCTCATGTTACTGATTTTCTAACCGGAGGACTCCCTTTAGTATTTCTTGTAATTTTGGTTTGGTTTTTGCAAATTATCTAAACTTCGGTTTATCTGGAAATGCCCTAATTTCACCATCATATTTGAAAGACAGTTTTGCCGGATATATAATTCTTGGCTGGCAACAACTTGCCTTAAAATTTAACCATCTTGTTTATTAAGGTTTACTTCATGCAGAATAGCCATGCCTACAAGTTTGGTCATCTGAGAAGACATGCTCCTAGAATAATTACTCAATTTCCTGGGCGAGTTCAATAACCTGTTAAAATCATCTTATTGAGCTTGATTAAGAGTTAACAAAGGGAAAAATTTGGAAAAGGATGGTAGTGATGGTTGCACAAGATGATTTACATAGTTAATGTCACTGACTTGTACATGTAAAAAGTGTTGAAATGGAAAATGTTTTGTTATATATATTTTTATAACAATCAAAAAAAAAAAGAATAATGAGAAAAGAAAATGGGTTAAGAAAGGGAAAAAGAGTTAATGGAAGAGGTTTGGCAACAAGAGTAGGCAAGTGAAAAAAGAAAACACCTCGTGAAGATACCTTAAAAATCAGGAAGGTAAATATGAAGGGAAAGTGTAGCAAAACATGCAGCTACAAAGCAAACTAGGAACATAAGCTTGTAACCAAATAATGGGGTAAAAAAGTAAAAGACTGCCTACTAGTCTGAGTGTACGCGGGGATTGCCAATGTAAGCGTACTCTCATCAGTTAATGACTTTTATAGTTATAGATGCTCCATAAGTGAAAATTCAGTATTCAGTTTACAGTTCTTGTTAAGAATGAGACCTGACAAGCAATACTGGCTTTGTGGTCCGGCTTAGAAACTGAACAGTAACTGAAGTACTTCCTTGCTTCTGGAAGTGAAATGAAAAGAATAGGGGTTGGGATGCATGCATCGGCCAGTGCCGACGCCCACAAAACTGGTGACCAAGCTAGGAATGGTGGTAAAGATGAAATGGGGATATACTGCTCATTTCTAGGGATTCATCGTGCATGGCCCCAAAGAGGAACCGTAATAATAAGATGGCTTCCACTGTTCTCAAGCATCACAGTTTATACATTTTACCAAACACCTTCTAATACATTATCTTCACTGATAAGCATTTTCACATTATCTCATTCAGTGCTGGTATACTATATTATACTTGACTACAACTGAGGGCCAGGGAAGTAACTGACTTGTTAGGTCACAAACATCACATAAATGGACAAGACAGCCCTCAAACTCAAGTATTCTGCCTTTAAAGCCAATCTCAGGCCACTGTTCTGGCAGGTACCTGAGGAGGCTGGGGTGGCTGACCAAGGGGGATCTGGAAAGGGCCTTTTTCCAAACTTATAATCTGAGGATATTTAGTTTAGGAGTTCTACCAAACCTGCATGGCATGCCCCTTTTTTATGGGCAGGGGAAAGGCCAAGAAAATAAGTGATTCTATTTGCTAAGGAGCCCTGGTGGAGTAATGGTTAAGTGCTCACCTGCTAACCGAAAGGTTGGCAGTTCAAACCATCAGCTGCTCTGCGGGAGAAAGATGTGGCAGTTTGTTTTCGTAAAGATTTCAGCCTTAGAAACCTTATGGGGCAGTTCTTCTCTGTCCTGTAGGGTCGCTATGAGTCAGAATCAACTCGATATCAAGGGGTTTTGTTTTGTTTTGTTTTACATATTTGCTACAATTCTTTCAAATTATACTATAAGCTTCAAAATCCATCAAGAGAACAGTTTCCATCACAAACTGCAATCTCTGTTTTCTCAAAGCCCTTGAGTCCTAATCCTGGTTACACCACTTACTATATGTGTGACTTCAGTTCACCAGTGGAACTCCTCTAGGCCTCAATCTCCATATCTATAAAATGTTGCTGTTAGGTGCTGCTGAGTCGGTTCTGACTCATAGCAACCCTATGTAGAACGGAACGAAACACTGCCTGGCCGTGCGCCATACTCACAATCATTGCTATGTTTGAGCCTATTGTTGCAGCCACTGTCCCAATCAATCCATCTCTTCAAGGGTCTTCCTCTTTTTCGCTAACCTTCTATTTTACCAAGTAGGATGTCATTCTCCAGAGATTGGTCCCTCCTCATTACATGTCCAAAGTATGTGAGATGAAGTCTCACCGTCCTCCCTTCCAAGGATCACTCTGGCTATATTTCTTCCAAGACAGACTTCATTCTTTTAACAGTCCACAGTATAATCAATATTCTTTGCTAACACCATAATTCAGAGGCATCAATTCTTTGGTCTTCCTTACTCACTGTCCAGCTTTTGAATGCATATGAGGCAACTGCAAATATCATGTCTTGGGTCAGGCACTCCTTAGTTCTCAAAGTGACATCTTTGCTTTTAAACACTCTGAAGAGCTCTTTTGCAGCAGATCTGCTCAACACAAATCTATAAAATAGGGAAAATAACTCTGGCCTTATACAGGGTGGCTGGGAAATCTAAGTAAGATAATGTATTTGATAGAATAGATTAAGCCAGAAGTAGAGTTCTAAGGGAGTAAGAGCCCAACTTGGACCCAGAAGCAGAGTCAAGATAGTGTTGTCTTCCTGAGACTATTTACTTCTATTTCATATTCCCATTCAATGAAGAAAAGAAGCAGGCGCTCAAGGTAGGACTGAGCTAACAATTTGGCAGCAAGCAGCCAAAATACAATAGGATCAGCTATAGATTCCTGGATTTAGAACAGAGCTCACTCTGAAACTTCTACTGATATTTCTGAGGTTCCATAAAATAGGTGCTGTGGTAACTCAAAGAGAAAAGTTGGCATTTAAACTGTGGGCTTAGACTGTTAAGAGTTAGTAATCACAGTCTGAAGTCTAACTGCCAGACTTCCACATATGTGTTATATGCTGTAAATATATCCCTCTTTTTAAAATACTAAGGGAAAATGAAACTGTTTTATCTTACAGCACACCAGAATAAAAACACAAAGTTCTTTCTTTTTAGTCTACAAAACTGTATCAGTAGTCTTCACCACAAGATGTCACTACTGCCTAAGAGTAACATTACAGAATGCTTATTTTTATATTATCTTACCTTAATATCTTTTAGAGAGACAAACTTCTCGATACCTAATTCAACCATATCTAGGACATGGTAGTCATACATACGACCTAGAAGGAAAACACATTTTCTTTTAAGCATTTAGTTCTCCTCAACAGTTGCCTTATATGTACCCACTTATCGACATGTCCAATATGTCCTGATACCTGCCTTTTTTCTTTCTTACACACCTGAAACATGCCCCCACCCCCCTTTTCTTAAATTTTCAACTTTACCCAGAACAGATTCCTAGGATCTTAGCCCTGGAAAGGATCTTAGAGATCATTCAGCACAACTCCTTTATTTCATAGAAGAGAAACTGAAGGCCTCCAGAGGGTAAAGGGGTTGCCTAAGCCAGTGAGCATGCCAGAACAAGCCTCAATACACCCAGGCCAAGCTTCCTTTTAAATGTATTTATTCAACAGATATTTATTAGGAAAGGTTTCACTTATGATAGATATGCTAGTTTGTTTTTTTCTAATTCCAATACTGATTTAGGATTCATATATATATCTGTATTTATGTATATATGCATACATGTGTGTGTACACACACACACACACACACATTCCATATTAGAAAAGTATCTTACAATTTGAGGTAGGGTAATATTTATATACCCCATTCTCTGCCTGGAGGATGGTAGCTAAAAAATTTTATTCAGTGTCACAAGGAAGAAAAAAAAAAGTTCAGAGTTTACTGGTTGCTCCTGAATCTTCAACACCATCAGTCAGTCTGAGTCATAGCACTGGCTCTATAATTAATAAAAAAAAAAAATTCGAAAGTAAATGATACTTACCTATTACTAGATTATTTGGCCGCTTCTTATTATGAGAGCCAAACATAAATAAAGAACAATCAGACTTCTTTGAAAAGAATTCCTATAAAACCAAAGAAATCCCATCAGTCAGTGCATAAATATAAGAACCTTAGGAATCTTATCTCTGAACTACATAAAAACTCTTTAAAAGGAAAAGTATATCAGTTTTTTCCAGGAGAAGTTAATGAAGACAGAATGAACTAGAAAGGAACATACAGAGGAAAAGTATTTTATTTCTAGCTTTTCAGTTCAAATTTTCTGATTTGGTGTACTTAAAGAAAAGATGTAAATTCAATATCAAAAATAAGGGAAAACTATTAGGTGAATAAATAATGAGACCATTTGTTTTCAGCAATGCAGTCATTTTGGAATAGCATACCAAATGTTTCATCTGCTGAACAAATTCCTTTACTCATAGGACATTACTGCTATTATCAATGGTACATCTTAGCATGTATTTATAACATACATGAATATATAGAACATATACATAAATTTGTCAATATGGTGGTTTTGGGTGTTTATAATTAGACTCAGGAGTTTACAATGCATATAATTACTTCTCATTGCAAACTTCATCCACCCAGAAAATCTGCCCTAGAATCTCCATGTCACCCCAGCTGTGACCAGTTCCATGCTCCGAATCCAGCAGGGACTTAATAACGGATCTATGATGTTCCTACTCATAAGAGATACTTCCTCCCTCTGTCTCTCCAAATGCCCCTGACTTCCTTTAAAGGTTTGAGAGAAATGGGAACATAGATATGGGGTCCGAACCCTAGATAGCTCCTTTTACACTGATGCTTATACTCTCTACATCCCATGTACTTCAACTCAGTTTGTTGAGATTACCAAACTCAGCAGAAAAATTAGATTCAATGTGTTCTAGTCCACAAATCAGTTGGAAAGCCTCATAAATTAATCACAGAAAATTAATGAAAGAAGAGGAAACGGAGAGATGTTGCTTAAGGGGCACTGAGTTTCTGTTAAGGTTGATGAAAATATTTGGAAGTGGATAGTGGTAATCGTTGCACAACACGGCGGACATAAATAATGTCACCTAATAGTACACATAAAAATGGCTGAGGACTTCCGGGCAACATGGTGCTACAGGCAGAAGCATCACGCCATCCCTCCGCAGCAAAGATCAGAAAAACTAAGTCAAACAGTCACATCTCAATCCTGAAACCCTAAGCATCAAATGAAGAGATAAAGAACTCAGCCCAGCACCGAATGGAATAGGAAACCAGAACAGAAAGCGAAGAGAGATACATGCAGACGTCCCCTATCAGCTACCACAGCACGGATCCGCCATCTTGGACTCCTATGGGAGATCAGCAAACAGGAAGTACAAGAAAGCAGCTTCATGGAGCTTCCAGCAGGAGACAGAACAACAGGTAACCCATGATATAGACTTTCCCACCGCCCTCAACCCTTCTTCACCCCCACTTACCCTCCTCTGCTTGCTGCAGCCACAGTCTATTGGCCGGGAGCACGAGCTTCCCCCCGCCGTGCCGCTTGGATCCCACCCACCTGCCCTGGCCAGCTCCCTGAGTGCCATTTGTTGGCTGCTGGTGTTGCTTTTTTCCACTTGTTTAGATTTCTTCCTTACCTCTCACCACCTCCCCCTCCTTTCTCTCAAATACCTGGCTCCATGTGCCATCTTTGCTTCTTCCGAAAGGCTGAAAAACTGCTCGACTGTGAAACTGCTTCCTAGCCCATGCCGCCATATACTGTGGGATCCCCAGGGACTTTTTTGTCTGTTTGCTCTGATTTATTCTGTTTTGATTTGTTTGTTTTCTTTTTCTTTTCTCAGCCTGGGAGCCCCTTCTAGCTGGGCAGTACCACGTGGCTTAGAAGATAGCCCCTTACTCTGCGCAGACACACAGGGACATCCGTGGGGGCATTTCTTTTTTCTTCTTTTTGTGGGGGAGGTTTGTTTTTTTTTGTTTGTTTGTTTGTTTTTCATTTCTTTGTTTAGTCTTCTTCTCTCTCTTATTCCCTTTTTGTCTTCATTTCCAGTTTCTCGATTTATTTGTTTTTTTCCTTTTACCCTCTTATTTATTTATCTTTCATTTTTGTTTTTCCCCATTTCTCAGTCTCTCGTCTCTACACTCCAATAGCAGGCTCGATTAGCACTCTTTTTTGTTTGTTTATTTTTGGCTCCTGTTCCTCTTTCCTCTCTCTCATCTTTCCCATACCCATCTTAGCCCCACACATCGCAATCTACCCACTCCTTCCTGCCTACCTGCACTATGCGCTGAACATCACACTCCCAAGCAGCACAGGCATGGCCTACTGGAACCTACCCTGCACTGATTCCTGGTCCGCACCATCAGCCCTGGCATGTGCCACAGAAAACCTATCCCAGCAACTCCCCTTCAGCTGGACCTGCCCTGCTGTACCACACCTGAGTGACTGACCTTGCCCACTGGAGAAGGAGGTGAAAAGTAACGTGCCCACAGACGAGCAAATAACAAACAACACACAGCTCGCCTGCTCAAGCATAACCAAATAAAACAAAAAAGCAGCAGAAACAAACAAATCTACAATCAATAAATGAGGAAAATAACCACTGAATGCCCCAGAGACAGCAGACAATATCAAAACATTTACAAAAACAGGACAGGATGGTTCCAGTAGGCGTCCAAAATAAAACACCAGATGAACCTTCCAGTAGAAGAAAAGGCACTAGACCTAACTGATAGGGAATTCAAATCTCTAATATTCAGAATTATCCAAGAGCTGAAGTAAAAAACAGACAAAAATGAGGAAAAAATAGACAAATTCATGGAAAAGGCAGACAAATTCATGGAAAATACAGACAAAAAAATGGAAGAATTCAAGAAAATAATACAGGAACAAGATGCTAAAATAAATTCACAAGTAGAAATCATACAAAAACAATTAGAAATCCAAAAGATAAACAAGATTTCAGAAATGGACAGTGTTATAGAAGGGCTGAGGAGCAGATCTGAAATGACGGGAGACAGGGTCAGTGAAACTGAAGACAAACACATAGATACAACTCTGTTTGAGGACAAATCAGAAAAATGAAGAAACCCTGAGAATTATGTGGGATACAATCAAAAGCAAAAATCTGTGAGTGATTGGAGTTTCAGAACAGGGGGAGAAAACAGAAAACACACAGAGGATCATGGAAGAATTGCTGACAGAAAGCTTCCCCAATATCATCAAAGATGAAAAGCTGACCATCCAAGAAGCTCCATGAACCCCATATAGGGTAGACCCCAAAAGAAAATCACCAAGGCATATCATAATCACACTTGCTAAAACTAAAGACAAACAAAGAATCCTGACAGCAGCTCGAGAAAAATAAAAAGTCACATACCGAGGAGAAACAGTAAGACTAAGCTCGGATTATTCGGCAGAAACCACGTAGGCAAGAAGGCAACGGGATGACATATATAAAATCTTGAGAGAAAAAAATTGCCAGCCAAGAATAATATATCCTGCAAAACTCTCATTCAAATATGATGGTGAAATTAGGTCATTTCCAGATAAAACAGAAATTAAGGGACCATGTAAAAACCAAACCAAACTTACAAGACTTATTAAAGGGAGTCCTTCAATCTGAGAACAAACAACATCAGACCACAGGCTGAATTTAGGACACAGGA